TTTAAATAAAAATTGTATAGACTTTGTAACCATACATTTAATTATATTATTAAAGGAGGTATTGCTTTAAAATAGATTTTCAGTTGCTTCCTGATACACTATCCATTTAATTGCAAAAATAAATTCCTGTCTATGTTTTTAAAAGCTATTTAGTGGCTTAACACTTCATACCTCAAAAAAGGATCCATAATACATCCAAAAAGTGGGGGGGGGGAGAATGAGGATGGGTTTGCATATGGTTAATGTATTCTTAAATTGCAATATAATGTCAATGGCTTTGATCCTAATTTTTTTTTTCTTTGCCACTGGTTCTATTTTAAAAGGATTCCTCAGTGTACTGGAAGTAATCACACATTTAATGTAAAGTGTGACTGGACTCTCTAAACTGAAAACTTAAAAGAATGAACTGAAAAGCAGGGCGGGATGAGCACCGTTTTAATCCCTAAAATCAGCATCTTAGATAAATTACAGAAGCACTTTAATCCAAGGCATGCCAATGACCTCCCCCTCCCATCTTTTTTCTTTTAATCCTGCCTTATTCCAAAGCCTTCCCAGAGAGATAATGTGTAAAGGAATGTGCCAGGAGCTATCCAGCAGGCGAGGCCAATCTTCCAGCTGGATCCTCAGCAGGTCCATATGGGCTTACAAACACATGCTGGAAAAACAAAAAAAAAAGGGAGAAAGAAACGCTCTAAATAGTTTGCTTATGAGGCTAAACACTACAAGGCAGTCTCATGAATGAAAATTTACGTGAGTAGAATAGGCAGTAAAGGCATTCTCAAGCTGCCCCTTCACCTTTTATAGTTGTGGTTGGGGCAGGCATGCTGATAAGTGGCATTGCCAGCTTTGGCAGCCTAGCGAGATAGCTTCAAAAGATAGCAGAAGGGTAGCTGGAATGTAGGGGAGATATTTCAGGTTTCCATCAATCCACAGCCTTGAAACATGAGATGTAGAAATCTTCCAAGAGGTTTTGGAGGACTAAGCTTTCTGTTTATTGGGAAAAAAATCTTTGAATTACTGGCATCTGAAGAACCACCATCCTTTTTTTTCCCCCCACCCTTTTGTCAGCCTATCAGATGCTATTCCCAGATCAGTAAAACTTTTGAACAGTGAATGAAAAATCTGAAAGATCAAAGGCCTGGAGACAAAAACATATGAAGAGTGGTTGCAGGAATTGGGTATGGCCAATCTAGAGAAAAAAAGGATTAGGGGTATTCCAGTATTTGAGAAAGTTGATCCCCTCTTCCATAAAGAAGAGGGGATCAACTTATTTTCGAAAGCACCAGAGGGCAGGACAAGAAACAATGGATGAAAACTAATTAAGGAGAAAAGCAACTTGGAATTATGGAGAAACTTCCTAACAGTGAGAACAATTAACTAGTGGAATACAGTAGTTTTCCTTCAGAAAACTACTGTATTGTGGGTTCTTCATCACTAGAGATTTTTAAGAAGAGAGTGAACAGTTACAGTACTTGTCTGAAATGGTATAGGGTCTCCTGCTTGAGCAGAGGGTTGGATTAGACCTCCAAGATCCCTTCCAGCTCTATTCTCATTCTTCTTTGATTTTTTGGGTGTATATTCTTCTCATCTTCACTGCCAATGCTACTTCACATACACTTACCCCAACCAAGCAAAGAAAGATCCTGCAATTATCCCACATAGCATCACTCAATTGTGGCTAAACAAGGCAAGATTTTAGCACACCAAATAACACTTTGTACCAGATTGAAGAAGAATGGTAATTTCCTCATGGTGACTCACTTTGTGGCCATTGTAAAATTGACTTGGGTCATGTGATGACCTGCTTAACAAGCGTAATGAGGATGAAATTCTGGGCTCAGCTGTGGTGGTTAAAGTGAGAATTACCTGAATTTTAAAACAGTAGCATGTCTTCATCCTAGATTTGGAAGAATATAAACAATATTGGAGTTGGAGTAAAAACATCAAAAGCATAAAAGCAGCAAAAAGACCACATAGGGCTATAGTGTGAACCACTGGAAGGGCATTAGGTTGCCATCCTGCTTTTCAGTCTGCACCCAAACAAGTGGCTATCACTCATGCACTCCAAAACCCTTGAATACCTAAGCCAGCAATAACTGCTATATTGTCAGGTGTAGTCCAGAAGTACAGCTCTGCCTCTACTTGGAAGAAGATTGACATGGAATGAGGGGAGGCCAATATTGATTGGATTATTGTAGGTGCAACAAAGCTATAATCCACTATTTTGGGGATGGATTGATGTGTATGTGCACCCATGTGTCCTTTGGAACCAAAAGAATAACTTCTTTCAAAACCTTTGATATATTCCTCTTAATCTAACACTTTCACACTAATCCTACCCCACTGTTTCTCAACCTTGACAGCTCTTAAAACGTGTGGACTCCCAGAATTTTAAATATGTTAAGTTGACTTAAGAGTTGGCAAAGTTGAGAAATACTGTCTTATGCTATCCATGAGTGGTGAAACCTAAGTGAGTAGGGAATGTGCTCCAGAAAGCCTAGTGAAGGAAATATTGTCAGTTCATTACTGTACAATGGTATCTATGTATATGCATTTTGAGTCAGACACATGATGTTGTTATGGGACAGTTTTCTTGGCAACATTTTCAGAAGTGATTTCTCCTTGCCTGCTTCCTACAATCCTGGGTTGCCTTTAACCACACCAAAGTGGATCTCCCCATGTGATTACTTGGTTAAAAAGATGTTAAAGAGTAAAAGAATATAATAGGAATTGCTTCTTTGTGTACTTGTGCAAAGAAAATTCCACACTGGGGGAATTTTTTTCTGGGGGAAGGAATTGTTATTTTATATTAGGTTCAGCTCTGCAAAAATTGGGTAGTCAGCTAAAACAAACCCATATTTCACCTGGCAAATAGCCACACTCTCCACTTCTCAGAAGTTGGTATTTTACATCTTCTATAGTGAGGGGGAAACAGACGGATGGGCTTGCAGACCTGTAAGAAAGCCCTTTGACTGCTTGACGCGAGCCATGCAATATTTTGAAAACAAAGACGGTCTGAGAGATTTTGATGGAAATGGCAGCTTTACAACAGTGAAATGTTATGTTAAAACACACAATAAGCAAGTGTACTCCTTCTTAAAAGTCTGCTGTCTCAGTCGGATTGAAACACTTATTCTTTAAAAAAAGTATGAAAGCAAAAAAAATATATGCTTATATCTAAGGCAGGAGTGTCCCACCTTGGCAAATTTAAGCTTGTGGACTTCAACTCTCATAATTCCCCATACTGGTTGACGAATTTTGGGAGTTGGAAGTCCGTAAGTCTTTAAGTTGCCAAGGTTGGATACCCCTGATCTCAGATTTAAGACTCACAGCTGACCCCAAAGAGCAAAATGAAGTGCTTAAGTGGCTGCCTCATAAATGGAGAGAGATTTTAAAAAATAGGTAGTTTAATACTATAGTGCTAGGAATGAAGGAAAAACAGCCTGACACAAGTGAAGCACAGGCTACAGCATCCCAGCTGTTCAGTTCAACAAGCTGGTGTGAGCATTCCTCTTTAAAAATAATCTTTTTCTTCCCTCAGGACACTCACGATAGTTCAAAGTTTCTGCCCTGGTATTCAAGCTCACTGAGATTGGTTGTTCCAATCAAAGGCCCCCTTTTCTCACTCCCAAGACCATGATTTCTTATACTAGCAGGAGAAAAAAAAAATGTAGTTGCCTAAAGGCAGAGAAACATTGCATGGACAAGATGTTAAACTTCTGAAATAAAAAATGAGCACTCAAAACTGCCTTTCCCTTTGCTTTTTATTCAATATCTATTGACATGTATAATTGCCTCATGGCCTATTATTAAAAAAATTAAGTAATCCAGGGATAAACAGATCTCTGGTCTTTAAAATCCCCTCTACTGTGCGTGGAATAGGCTTTCATCCAATTATTTAGCAAAATGATACCAATTATGATGGGCAAAGTAAAAAGTGGCCTATAAAATGATGCAAACAGTGCTAAATATCAAGTACTGTTTCCTTTATATACAAGGCAATTTTGAAATGAAATGGAAAATTGGAAATCTCATGGAAAAACTGGGGTCGCCAAAGGCCCCAAATTATCTGTGTTTCTTCCTTGCTTACTATAAACCCAGAATTCTTAATCTAGCATCTGTTGTTTAGAAGTTGGAAAGAGACCATTTAAGTAATATCACTTAGCTTGTCCTTAATATCTGTCTGTTAAGATGAGCTTCACTCATGCATGAAATTATGAAAAAAAGATTACTTAGTGCAGGGGTCAATGTCTAAAACATAAAAATATGGGGCAGAATATACTGTAGGTCTTTTGCCTTCTTCAGATTCCAGGGATTAACCAAATGTTTAGTGATGGATCTCAATGTTGACTTCCCCATCAATGTTAAGAGACCAGAACTGGAGAAGGCATAGCAGAAATCTTTCTCCCTGATACCATTCTTATTCCACATTTAAAACAGATGCCTTGTGGTTAGATGGCAGCTCTTCTGGTTTTACCAATGCATCATTGGGTGCTGAATAAATGCTCAGAGCAATCAAACTGGTCAAATTCAAAGAGAATTCAGCCCCATACTTCTCATAGTCTAGGCCAGGGGTAGGCAACCTCGGCTCTTTTATGACTCGTGGACTTCAACTCCCAGAATTCCTGAGTCAGCTATGCTGACTCAGGAATTCTGGGAGTTGAAGTCCACGAGTCATAAAAGAGCCGAGGTTGCCTATCCCTGGTCTAGGCTAACTGAAATGTTGTGCTCTGCAAAAAATGTTAGCTAAAGTCTTCTTCAGCTCCTGGTGACTTCAGGGAAATATCCATGTAGGTTAATTTTTTTTTCTGGCAGCAAGACAAAATGACTTACCAAAGCTTACCTGGATCAATGGCCCTACAAAGTAAGCCAGGAAACCAAAAGCAAACATACTAAAATACTGTTGTCCAAGTTGTAGTTCTTCCTCCTGTCTCTCAAGATTATTCACACAACCCATAACAAGCCTTAGTAGTCTCTCATCCATGTATAAAACATCCAAATTTGATTAAATCAAAGTTTAATTGCCATTTCAATTAAAAATAAGCAAATGCAAATATTTTAAATGGGACGAAATGTGCTTCAGGTCCTGTAGAGAAAGAACATAAGCTTTTCTGGGTGAAGAAGCAGAATGTGTAAGCCACTAAACTTTTCATGTCCATGTATTTGCTGATCATATTATTAGCACACTAAGAGCCAAATTGTTTCCATTGTTTAATAGCAGGTTTTTAAAATGCTGAATTCAAATGCAAGGCATACCATCTTCTAACTAAGTATCTTACAGTAATTTTAAATACATTTTCACATTAATGTGTGCTATAAAGCCTACACTGTAATTACAGTGAGATGTTGACAAGAGTACCAAAGGCATTTCACAAAAAAAAAATCCTGGACTAAAAAACATCAAGCCCAATCATACAAAAGACATCAGTGATTTTACCAGCATGCATTAAAAAATCCTCTCATAAACATCTGAAGCACATTGGCTGCTGGTGTCTGACTCAAGTATTTTCCAAGTTCAAAATAATGCTACAAGGACATTTTAATACACTTTTTGGACACTTTTGTTCTAATCTTCAGCAATAGAAGAGTTAGAATGAAAACTGCCCTAAATGATATGACAAATAGTTATTCTTTTTTTTAAAAAAAAAAATCCCTGTTTTCTGCTTCATTTTTGATCTGGATAAAAGATTTTTAGTAGTTTATAAAAGACAGATTACAAATGTTAGCCTCAAAATGCTTGTGAACAATATCAACCAAAGAAATGGAGGCACTTTGATTTAAGACGAGGGTAGGCCACTGTCTGTGCATTATAGGCTGTTAGGTGATTAGGGAAAAGGAGATTTCCCTGCAATTCCCACCAACCTTCCTGGCAGGTAAGCTGCAATCCCTGTCTTGTCTTTTTAAATCTCAGATAAGATTCCAAATAATACTCTCGTTTTCAAAATTATGCATAAAGAGTGTCTCAAAGTTACATTACATAAGAATTTTGGTCTCAAAAAATTTCACTATCCTGCAAAAAATACAGCAGAGGTATTTACAAGTCATTTAATGTCCAAAAATCTTAAAATTTAGTATGAAAAATTGGTGGAAAAATATATAAATTAGCTTGTGATGCGAGCCAAGTGTGAACACTTAAGAATCAGGTCATTAGTATATCTAAAATTAAGAAGTGTCAATATCAGAAAAAGTATACATCCCACAAACCCTAAATAAAAATATTTGTAAATTGAAAGATCGAAAGCACATATTTTTGTCAAGAAAATATCAGTTCAGTCATAAGAAAGCAATAAGAAATATACAGACCAAACATACATATGGTGAAAACTCTCCCATTGCTATTTAAAAGTGCCCAACTTTGGAGGAACCATACTCTAAAATCTGGTTCTTATGTATTTCCACTATGAAAAAGAGAGAGAGAAAATACTTTGACAATTTTTTAAGTTAGGCATTATTTTCTTAAATAAAAAACACAATAAAAATGAGTAAACTCACAGTATTTGATCACAGTATCTTTGTCATTCTTCGATGTCTTTTGTATTTTGATTTTAAATGTGGTTAGCTTCCCAGTCACTATAGTGAGATGGTCAGCCATCTAAACTGAATAAATTTAATTAGAAAAAAAACCTGACATGATGCATCTTATTCAATTTTAGTTTAAAAAACATAACCAACTTCAGAAGCTACACAGAGCCGTAGGGCAGGAATAATAGTCAAGCTTTGTCTAATCTGGCACCCTTAGGGCTGTGGTGACTAGAAAGCATAGGAGCTATCATCCTAAAATGTCCAAATGACAGCGGGATGGGGACTGCTGCAGTAAACAATAAGAGCAGTTCATGGACAATATAAGAGATTCACTGAACTGCTGTTTGGCCTGAAAACTTCTCTGAAGGACCAGTGCAGCAATCTTCTTGTCACAGAAATTACCTCATGCACAATAGTCATTTCACATCATCAGGAAAGAGAAATACTACATTTTTATCGGCACACACAAACAAGTCATTTTGGCTGTCCTTAGCACTTTGAGGTTCTCATTGAGCTTTCTTTGCCTGTTTCTTTTGGACTGCCTCACTCTTCTCTCCATCAAGAAGACAGTCACAGGCTGAGGAGATGCCATTTAAGGGTCCTTTGATCTCATCCATGGCTTGTGAACCAGTTGGCTTCTGGCCAAAGAAGAGGCGAGCCAGTGGTTCCTCCAGGGAAGCAAATGGAGAAGTAGTGCATCCTGTCACCATCATGTTTATCTGCAAGAAAACACATAGTAAGTGCCTCAGCTCTGCAACTAAAACTGGATAAACTCAGCCTAAATAATACCTTTCTGAATTTTTACTCCACTTTTCTTGAAATTCAGCAGTCTGCTTTTCATAAACAAGGTGGGGAAAGCACAGTTCTAGAATTCTTTCCAATCTTTTTAGCAGCACTAACCACAAGAGGAGACTATATTTTCTCCTGTGTGACAAAGTAATGAGTGCGGCTGTGTGTCTTTGCTCTCTCCTTGTGTTGCACTTGTATTTGGGGGGGGGGGTATGTGCACATTGGAAAGCACACTGAATACATTCCACTCTGGATCACTTGATTAGGAAACAGGCAAAAGAAAGGTTAAGATTAAAGCAATCAGCAACATTCTGAACCACTGCCCGACTTGCCTCTCCCCTAGAGATTCATTGGGCAAATTAAGTCTGGAATAATTTTCCCTGAGATCTCAAGCCACACCCAGGTCCTTTTCAAATGTAATCTTTCTTTTGCCAGTTTCTTCCTCCATACCAAATTGGAGGCCATTCTGTTTGGTTTTCCAAAATTTACCCTGCTGATAGGGCAGAGTTCTGAATCCCTTGACATAATTTCTTTCCAACATTCTGTTGAGCTGGTGGAATAAATGAAGAGGCAGGGTTGCTAAAGATACATTCTAGTATTGAAGGTTTTTCTTCCCAGAGAGGATTTTGCCTATTAGTTCTGCCTTCCCAAGGAAAAGAAGATAAATAACTGTAGTGGGGAGGGAACTGATTCTGGCAAAAGGAAATATGGATTAAATGGGTTCTGTCCAAGCTTGACCAAGTGGTCAATCATTATGGCCCAATAGAAAAGTAAAGTACATTTACAGATGGGCACTGTTCATACATACTGAAAAGCCAGCCAAATCCTTAGCAGATATTGTCAATGGGATCCCAGTTGTGCTGATAAATACTAAGCCAAGATATAAGCAATCCCATGAATTGTCATTAGGAGAAAATATAGTTGGCTTGGCAGTGAACAGAAATACTGTGCAATAATCATACAATACAGATGTGAATCACTCCCTGGAATGCGAAATTGTCTCAAATTAAGGTTATGGAAGTGACGATTTTCTCACACGTTCCTGACTGGTTTCCCTTTTATTCTTTAGATCCTAATAGAAGACAGATGTGGAATATGAATACATATATATATATATAAAAACGGAATGATGACAGCTAGAATTCAACACATCTGGAAAGTACTGGACTGAAAAAGTCTGACATACATAATCAAAGCTAGAAGGGATCATATAAGTATTATTATTTAATGTTCAAACTATTGTATCTGCCATATGAATGTGCCTAATAGATGTTATTATTGTAACACAATAAAAATATGTTGAACACACATCCACAGAAACCATAAACCAGAAAAACTTACCTTTGTGATGACCAAAAAGAGGGTGTAAAGTAACATGAGATTGTGCTTTGTTATTGGAAGATAAAAGTTGCACTGCATTGTGAAGAGCACTGCTCCCATCAAACTTACTTTCACAGGACTGGGGGGGGGAAAAGAAACATACAAAAGGCAAGGTGTATTTTTCAATTCTCTATTCTCAAAATACATATTCACTCATCATTGCTGTTAACACCAAGGCTCATTAACAGGGCTTCCTTCAGACATTTAATCTGTTAACTTGTTTATAGGGACCAATGCTCATTAACTGGCTGGCAATTCAAAATATGTTTGTTGAATTTTTAATGCAGCAAGGAGTTAAGTCCAACTGATCTCAATAATACTTATGCCCAAGAAGATACGGTATTGGCCATCTAAGAATCTTGGTTCTCTTATGCTATACTATTAAGAAAGAAAAAAGGAAATTCACATGGACTTCTCTTCTAATTAAAACACTGGAGTTGTTTTAATTTCTCTTCAGGTTTTTTTTTAAACCCTCTATTAATATGTAGAGTATTACGGTAGATAATATGCATACTTGTGAGACTTCTATACTACTCCAGGCAATAGAACACACTTAAAGTGGCACATCAATTGGATAAAATTAAATGTAATAATTAAAAACAAATTAAAAATAGAAACAGTAGAAAAATCCCAAAGGAATGATAAAACAACTTATTTATGGAATTTTCTCTTGTAGATTAAGATAAGGTGATAAATGGATCACTTGGAAGCAGATATGCTGAAAGGCTTGCTTCTTGTGGTGCTAATCAGGTTTTCCAGATATGTAGCAACTAGAAAAAGGTATCATACAACATACAAGAGGAACATATGCTGAGATATCCTAGACATTTTTTTACATCAGAAGTGTGCGATCTGTCTCAATGATTGTATGTGGTGTTGAGTTTGGTTTCAATTTACTTGATCATGCCATGCTTTGGAGCAGGAATAGGAAACTAAATCCAGCAGCCCCAACCTCTGTTGAACCATGCTACGTTTTGTGGCTCTGAACCATCTTAAACAACAAAGCTCATGTCTATGGTTTAGAATTACATTTAAATCAGCACTAAATTGCTGTGTTCTGTATCTGCACAAGGTAAAATCCTTTTTAAAATCCTATTAAATTTGTTGTGTTTATTAGAATTACAGTATATAGCTGCCCAATTCACATAATTGCAACTCTGAGCCATGTACGTCAAACAGCACACACACGCATATCAATATTGCAAGTAAGACATCCCCACATCAACAAAAAAGAAAATCCATAAAACAATGTCTTGAGTCCATAACATTGTAACAAAATGAGCTTTTTATAAATATTCCTCTTTTCATCAGCTTTGCATTGCTGCTTGTAAATATTTAAAGCTGCTTTTTCTTGGCCAGCATATATTTTTAAAACAGAAAAAAAAACCCTACACAACTGTGATGAATTAAACTGATGGAAATTATAATGTTCATAATAGCTGAAGGATTTAGCTCATACGCCCAAGCATACTGTCTTCCTCTTTTCTTCCTCTACCTGAGCAAAGCTTATTTCTGGCAACAAATCTGCTTGAATTTCTCCGTTTCTCTCTTGTCATTCTTTATTACCAAGGATAGTGCTATGGAAGCAGGGTGCCTAAGTGCTTCAATGCCCCCGCTGCTTTTATCACACTGGAAGTCACAGCCTTGTTTTCAAAATAATCATTTCCACAAAAAAGCTCGTCAGGAAGTCAGACAGGCAGGGCAAAGGGACCTTAAAATGCCCACCGTGAGTTCATTTACCTCTTCCAGCAATAGGCCATGGCCGGCTGGCCAGTTACAGCTCTGACTTCCTATGGCAGAAATAAAAGTAGAAGCAATTTAACATTCCCGATTTAGCTTCTGCGAGGCCAAGCTGGATGCTGCAACTCAAGCAGTATGCCCTGTGTGCTAGGAATGGGTTTCTCACAGCACATTAATATCACTCCTGCAAAAGTTAGGAGCCATTTAGCCACTGAATCCAACTCCTAGCTCTGAACAAGAATTGAAAATCAAGTAACTGTGACCACTGGCTCTCCTGCCTCTCATCCAAAGAAAGGGAGTCCACCATTTATCTGGGGTAACAGCTTCTACTGTCAAATTGTTCTTACTATTACTTCCATTAAAATATGCCTTCCTGTGACTTAAATCCATTATAGAATTGGTCTTCCAGTCAGCTGTAGTTTTTTTCCCCTTTACTTGAAATTTTTCTTTTAATTGTAAGCTGCTCAGAATCACTGAGATTTGAAATTCAAAACCACAAAGTAAAATAAATGACTATGATTATATTTCCCCTTCAGTCTTCTCGCGGCAGTACATTCAATCCAGATTCTTCAATCCTTCACTGAACTTCGTTTGAGATCAAGTTCTTGGATCACCACCCTTCTTAGACCCTGTTTCAGTCCCATAACCTGCCTAAGGCAGGAGTCCTTACATCAGTGTTTCCCAAACTTGACAATTTTAAGGCATGTGGACTTCAACTCCCAGAATTCCACAGCCAGCGTTAATGGAGTTGAAGTCCTCATGCCTTAAAATTGTCAAGTTTGGGAAACACTGCCTTACATCATCCTGGACAAATGACTGTCTAATCTTTTCTTGAAAACTTTTCAATAATGGAATGCCCACAACTCTAGGAGGCAAGCTATTCCATTGATTAATCGTTCTCACTGTCAGGAAATTACTCCTCATTTCCAGAATGTGGACATTTGTCCACAAAATACATACGATTAAGGATTCCTTGTAAAAAACTGGGCCCAAAATATATAGGACCATTCAAAATAACTCAGGTAGTCAGCCCAGTCACGGTACGACTTCAGCTTCCCCGGTTCTTGGGGAAAATTCATCCTGTGTTCCACAGTAGCCTGTTGAAGCCAGTATCCGAATATCGAGTAACAAATCCGCCTGGCCCTGTCACATCGGACCATTATGAGGTGCAGGAGATACTGGACTCACGAATGAAACGCGGTAGACTGTACTATTTGGTGTTATGGAAAGGGTACTCGTTGTCAGAAGTGTCTTGGGTGGTTGAGACTGACGTACATGCACCCCAGTTGGTTAGGGCGTTCTATGTAAAGCATCCAGGAAAGCCGGGGGGGGGGAGATACAAATACAAGTGCTGTACCATAGATAACATGTTGTACTTTCCTTCCTAGGGGGAACCCTGGTAAGGGGGGGTGGTATGTCGGGCCCTAGGAGACATTGCTGTGCGGAAACCCACCACTGGTTGCTCCAATAAATCCTGAACTACCTGGGCCTGCCTTCACCGGCCATCCCTAGACTCCTGGGGCTGCCGCTGAAACCCCATGGTGATTAATGGCTGGTGTCCTCCTGCAGGAATGAGCGAAGACGCTTCACGAGGCTAAACATGGGCCCGACATCACAGCGCGGATCTCCCCAGCTGATTCGCGCATGGGCACTAACACTAATGGGCAGGACGACTCACACATGCGCACAGACAGCTGGGAGATAAGCTGGCAATTCCACGCATGTGCAGAGACAGCCAAGAGACAAGCTGGCAAAACCGCACATGCGCAGAGACAGCTAAGAGGCAACCTGGCAATACCACACATGCGCGGAGGCAGTTGCTCATCAGGATGGACTTACAGCACCTGGGATGTTTTGTTACTTTGGAAGACTGGATGGTGGTTTTTCGGGGGTAATTGGGTGGGGCTAGGTGGTGTTGGGTGTGGGGGATACAGGTGTGGTGTTGGGTGTGGGGGATACAAGTACTATATAAGAGCACTGAGAACGGATGGTTCTCAGTGCCGACTTTATTCATGCTTCACCTCATTAGTAAAACATTGTTCCTCGTTCCTGCTGGTAGTTTCTTTATTTACAACAAAATCTCGGCCTAGGACATCGTAACAGAATCTACCTTTGATGTGCTTCTTATCCTGCCCTCAGGTGCTATGGAGAATGAAATCTAATGATCACTGTCATGGTTCCAACAGATGAAACTCTTCAAAAGAACTTCGAGGCATTGTTTACCTTAAAGAATCTTTTATTCGAGTAGCATAACATCGGCACTGCATAATCAAAGCCAAAAACTGAATTCCCCTGCCCTGGGCACATAGTATCAAAGCACAATTCCCTCCTCCAATTAACAGTCATAAATCACACTCCCCTATTAGCTTGAAACACGGGCTTCCTCTCCAGTTCTCCAGTTCTCTGGGCTCAATAACCTTGATTCTCACACTAAGCTTAGTGTTGTTATGTCTAGCTAGACTCTCATTCAAATCCCCCCCCCCAACATCATCTAACTCTAAAAGCGAAAGGGAAAAAGATGGCTACATTTCCACCTGTTGTCAATGCAAAACATCCAATGTTAGCAGCATTGATAATCACTAGATCAGTTAGTTGGCAGATTAACAATCTGTTCTGGAGAAACTGTGTAGATGTGCCCAATATCTCTCATGTATATCAGAATCCCTTTCTTCAACTCCATATGGGCTGCGCTTCCGGACTGCACAAATCCAAGTAACTATTATGTTGCAATTAAGTGAGCAGTTGTTAGGGTGATGGATCATTAGTCCTTTGGGGAGAAAAAAACAACTTGATTGGACAGAGTATTCAGACCTTACCATGCCACTCTGATTCGCTTTCTGAATGGCAACTGAATGTGAATTTTTCCAATTTCAGTCAGGGGAAACTATGAATCATGGCTCTTATAGCATCTTACATGTCTTCACCTTCTTTCTCTCATATAGGGTATCTGAGATAAGTTGCCTGTTGCTCCCCTGGAATGCACCCCCTCCCTCGTGGGGATCCACTTCCTCACTACATGCCATCTCACATACAAAGTCTGCAGACAGCAGCACAGCATGCCCTGTCCCAAATGCCAGTGAGGGACATTCTCTGAGTGGGTGTAGTTTTACATCAGCATCAAACTGGAGGAAAGCACAGCAAAACAGCTGTGAATGCACTTCTTACATATCATGTTCTTATTTTCTTCCCATTTCTCTAACTCAGCTCATCATTAATTTTATTTCTGAAGCATGAGTCATCCTATCCAATTTTGGATTGCCCACAGAACTGATTAGCTTTCCTTCCACCCCTTGATCCAAGTCATTAATAATAACAAAGAATATAAGGCCCAATGGTGAA